AAAGAAAGAAAGAAAGGTTATACTGTTTCAGACTATTAGTCTACTCAAAGTTGTATTTGGCCTTAAGAAAAAAAATCATCTTTGCCTCAAATCATATATTTATTTGTTTGTTTTGTTTGTTTATTTATGCATGCAATGCTAGGGGTTGAACCCAGGGGCATTCTATCACTGTGCTACATACATCCCCCTCCCTTTTTTAAATTTTTATTTTGAGATAGGGTCTTACTAAGTTGCCAAGGGTCTTGCTAGCCTCAAAATTGTAATCCCCCTGCCTCAGTCTTCTAAATAGCTGGTATTACAGTTTGTGTCACAGTTCCTGGCTTGTACCCTCTTAGAAATAGGTATCAGGCACTTGTAAGATGCAGTGAGTAAGGATGTAGAAGAAGATGGAGAGTTTGATTTACAAAAACAATAATCAGTCATTTCATGAGGGAAAAAATAAAAATAATTGGTTAATCCTACATTAAACACGTAAATTCCCCTACTGCTGGCTGGACCCTCAAGAGTCTCTGAAACTTTCTTATATCCTCTGCATGTTCCTGAACTTTGCCCCTGATTTCTACTCTCTTTTTACTTATAGTGTTGGGGATTGAACCCAGTGCTCTAATACTAAGCTATACATGAAGCCCTTTTTTTTTTTTTTTTTTTGTCTGTTTCATTTTGAGACAAGGTCTTGCTAAATTGCCCAGGCTGTTCTCAGACTTATGGGTATGCACTACTAGGCCCAGTCCTAATCTCCACTCTTAATGGTTTAAGACAAAATACAAAGACATTTCCAATCTTGATTTTACTTTTAAAATATACTCATTAACCCTGTGATATACTTGATTACTTTCCTTTTATATATATGTCAAGAATGTGTTCTACTCTTGTTTTCTGATCACCAGAAGACTTTTTTTTTCATTTTTAAAATTTCACAGTCTAGCTACTTCTAAGAAAAATTATATACGTAGTCCCAACTAAGGTTTGAATACTAAGCATTTTAAGTTTTTAGAAAAATTGAAGCATATCTTAAAATGAATGAGCCCAGGTATTTTGTGGTAAGAAATCTTAAGATTGCTCTGTAACATAAGTAGTTTTACAGTCACTGGAAATATTGATGATGAACATGGACAACTACATATTCTTATTATGTATAAATACATTGAGATAAACTAAAAGTTAAAGGAAACAAAATAGTAATAGCAAAATGTACATGAGTTTTATAATAATCAAAACTGTCCAGATGTTAGCTTTACCTTTTTCCTGGACTATATGAATTTCAGCAAATTTCATCTAGCCCAGTCTCAATTTACTTTTCTGTAAAATAGGTGAAATTATGCTTCCCTCACAGAATTAATTAAGTCAACAAATAAGCACCTGCCACAAAATAAGTATTCTGTAGTAAACTATAAATCATTTATTATTGTTCAGTTTTCCAAAATTCTGTATCTGATTTGTTGAAATTACTGAAAAGATATAACTAAAGAAATGCTGTATAGTCTGGAATCTTAAAAAATGCAAACTGACCACTTACAGGTCCACTATTGCTCTGCTTCTTGTTGACAAGAGGACATAATACATTTTTGTGTTTGTACCTTGAGTGCATTTTTAAACTAAGAAGGAGAGATATTGTTCCCATTTGCTGAGTTTGTGACTTAATTTAGTTGCACCTGGCATCACTATTTATCTAAGCTTCCCAGATAATATCAATGAGCATCAAAGGTTAGGTCAACATTTACAACTTTTTATCTTATCATCCTGATTTTTCTATGGTAATGAACATTAAACCTTAAATGCAACAGGTTTGCAGGCTTTTATTTGGGAACTACACAGTATAGGAAAGAAGGTTTTTACTCTACAAATACTAAAGAGTGGATTAATACCCTCTAGGATACATATAGTGATGTCTACCTTAGAAAAGAGAGGAGGCCTGAAATATCAGGCTAGGCAAGAACATGGCCCCACATAGGAGCCCTGGGCTTTTAATATTTGTTCTCAGACAGATTTGTGATTAATGACACCACTCAACAAATTTAGAAGAGGGATTGCATCTAATGTGATTTCATATATTTAAACATACTTATTTCCTAAAAGATATGGTCCAAAAAATTTTTAATTTAACTGTCAAACTTGTCAGGTCCTCAATCTGAGATCCTTCCCTGCTGCCTCACCTCTCCCTGCTTTGATTTCAGTGCCTTCCTTATGCTCCTGTGGCACCCCGAGCACATCATTCTCTAGACTGGTTGATTTCCCTCTACACAGACTGAAAACTCCTGAAGACAGGGTCATATGATTTGATCTTTTCTGTCACCCTGCATTTTGTCTGGTTTAGGGTTGCATCCAAATATTTATGATTCGTAAATGAAGCAGTTCACTGTGTGTCTACTTTGAGCCAGGTATTTTGCTGGTATTCAAAGCATTTTTAAAAGTATGTTTCTATTATTTGAGGATTCTAGGTGTCTTGTTGAACAGATTAAATTTCTGTTTATGAAACAATATGATATAAAACTCAAAAAATGTTAGTAAAGAAAAGTACAGAGGTAATTCAAAGGGAGAGATCTACATAGGCAAAGAATGCAAGATACATTTCTGAATGTGAAAAATAGTACTTAAAATATGGTTCTGAATTACTCATACTACGGTGTAACTATCAAGTAGTTAATTTTAAGTTATTTAAAGAACTTTGAACTTTGTTAAATTTCATTTGGAAGTTCAAAACTCACTTAAATATTGAACTTAAAACATTAAACATTTCACATTGAACTTTTAATATTAAGTTTATTTTTTGGACTATATAAAGTGCTTTGGTGGTGCACACATATAATCCCAGCAACTTGGGAGGCTGAGGCAGAAGGATCACAAGTTTGAGGCCAACCTTAGCATTTAGTGAGACCCTCAGCATCTTCCTGATATCCTGTTTCACAAAAAAGAAAAAGGACTGGGGTCATAGCTCAGAGATTAACCATCCCTGGGTTCAAATTCTCAGTATTTAAAGAAAAAAAAAAAGTGCTTTGGATATTTACTTTTCCTTTTAGTAGATATATCTCTTTTTATTTAGACCAATAAAAAAGGGGTTCTTATTCCTTTTTTAACTTTTATAAAATTTAAAATATTTTTAAATTTGTTCTAATTAGTCATATTCCTCCCCCCCCCTCTCTCTCTCTCTCTCTCTCTCTCTCTCTAACACTATTTAAGTAAGTTTAAGCCACTCTAAAGTGGCTTAAAGGATATTTGTTAAGGAAAAAGAAGCCTGAAAGAAGCAACCATGTCTTTTCTATCTCCAACATGCACCTTAACTACACATAGGTTCAACTTGCCAAACTGCTGTTCAGACACATTTTACTGTTATTTGTTACCATGTTTCAAAAATACAATGCTTCGTCACATTTCAACAAATAAAAAGACAGTTGACACTGGGCTCTTACATCCTGGCCTTTAATAAAACTTTTACCATATATTATTTTTGTCTTGAATGTCTTAACCCTATAGGTCTATTCATTCAGAGTTTGAGTTTCAAGAAAAAAAGACATTTGATGCTTAAATAAGCAATATCTAAAAGCATATTCAATTTTAAAAGTCTTATCAAGAATATAATAATTTTCCTTTAAAAAATTTCTATTTGTAAGTAGTAGTTTACAAGATATAAGGATAATTCCAAAAATACAATGTATTCATACACTATAAACTTCACTAAGAACTCAGTTTTATTCACATGCTGTTATACTAGCTATCATCACTTTGAAAACATACCTGTTCCCCGTACAGTATAGGTCGGTTTAGGTTTATTCCTTTAATTGCTTGGTTTTGAGATAGTACTGTTGCAAATGCTATCACATTTTGCATTCCCTAAAAAATAAATAGGAAAATTCATTAAGGAAACTGACACTATATAAATTAATCTCTCTACATAAATATTTCAAGATCATTTATCTGAATTCTAATAAATCAAACTTTGTTTTTAAAAAGATTGCTCTTTGAATTATAGGTTGATTGAATTCAGAAATAAATTGTTATTGTAGTCTTCTTTCCCTAGCCTAAAATCTGTTTGCAACACACACAAGGAGTTTCTTAACATTTCAGTATTCATTTCTTGGGTGTCTGACTCTAGTCTTGCTTCTTGGCCCTCAAGGTTTTGTGTGGGGTCCTCAAGATGTGGACCCCAGCTAGGGATCATACTACTTATGCAATATATGACTTTGCACAGGCATTCTTTTATGTTCATATAGCACATGAAGACAAGCAAAAACCACATTTTTCATTTTCAGGCTCAGAGTAGCTTTTACCATCCTAGTATTTTTCTTTTATTTTTTTAGCATTATTTTAAATTTTTTATGCCATAATGTAAATATTACAAAGTATTTTCAAAGTAAAGGAATTTGTATTATATTAGAGAACTAGTATTTGTTTAATTAAAAATGAACATGATTGTTTTCTTTAAAAATCCTTTACAGGGTAAGATGAGTATGGACAAAAGTTTAGGAATATTTTTATTATACTGTATATTTTTCTATGATATTTACTATAATCTGATTTTATTAACAGTCTGTACTATTATATCAAGGAAAAAATCCCATCTTTTCTCTTATTTTAGACATTAGGGACAAGATTAACAATTCATAAGACTGCCATTTAACTGGTTTCTTGGATGGTTCTATATGCTGATTTCCTGGGAGAATAACACATTATCTTGGTGATTTTTTTCATAAACAAATTTACTCACCAGGTCACAGTCACCCAGATCTAATTTCTCTAAGGATGAATTAATTTGCAGCATTGAAGCAAAAAACATTCCACCTTTATTTTCAATCTTATTTCCAGTCATTCGCAGGTATTTCAAAGTTGTATTCTTCTAAAAAAGAAAAGAATCAAAACTTATTTAACTCTTTTTTTGGGGGTACTGGGCATTGAACCCAGGGGCACTCAATCACTGAGCCATATTCCCAGCCCTATTTTATTTTTTATTTAGAGACAGGGTCTCACTGAGTTGCTTAGTGCCTTGCTTTTTCTGAGGTTGGCTTTGAACTCACGATCCTCCTGCCTCAGTCTCCCGAGACACCGGGATTACATGTGTGCACTGCTGCGCCCAGCTGTTAATTTAACTTTTTAATCCATGGAATTCTCTAAATTAAATGAGTTAGGAGAGGGAATATTACCATTTATAAACACATGTAATCTTCAAGGAGATAGACTAGGATGTTCCTTAAAGGTAATACTCAATTTCCAACAGTAGATAAAAATCTACTAGTTTAATAAAACAAATGACCAATAAACAGAAGTCCAGTCAATAACCAGTAAATAAAACACATTTAATAAACTTTCCTTTCATTGAAAATATAAATTTATTTTCTAAGAAATTACACCACTTTTTTATAGAGGTGAAATCCACATAATGGATTTATTAATCCATAATAATAAAATTAACCATTTTAAAGTATACAGCTCAGTGGCATTTACTACATTCCCAATGTTGTGTAGCTATCATTTGTAGCTAGTTCCAAAACATTTTCATTACTTCTAAAAGTAGTCCTGAACCCATTCAGCAGTCATTTTCCATTATACCATCACTTTTTTGTTGTTGCAATGTTAAATTCCTAACTCCCATTTTAAAGCAATATAATTTCTCGGGCACTTGCAAGATTTAATTCCATTTCTTATTTCACTCTTGATTAAATAACAAAATTATAGCTATTTCATTATTCTAATGAATACATGTTAGGATATATAATAATGTAAATAATTATCTGTTTAAAATGAATTCAAACTCCTTTAAGATCAGGAAGACGAGAAGTATGTCTGTTCTGGTCACTTCTGTTTAACACTATATGGAAAGTTAGAGCTAGGGAAATTTGGCAAGAAAAAGAAAAAAAATCCAAATTAGAAAAAATGCTTGGATATGACATGATCTTGTACTGAATATGAAAATCCCCTAAGGAATCCACTAAAGAAATGCTGTTAGAACTAGTAAACAAATTCAGCATAGGATACAATATCAAAATAAAAAAATCAATTGTATTTCTATACTCTAGCAATGAACAACCTAAAATTGAAGTTATAAAAACAATTTCACTTTCAGTACCATCAGAAAAAAATAAAATATTAATAAATTTAACAAAAGAATAGCAAACCTGCACGTTGCAACCTACAAAACACAGTTGAAAGAAATTACATGGAGCACATTCCATGTTCTTAGTTTGGAAGACTTAATATTGTTAAAATGGCAATACTCTACAAATTTATCCACAGATTTAACAAAATTCCTATCAAACTCCTAGCTGCTTTTTCTTATAGAAATTGATAAACTCCTAAAATGTATATAGAAATAAAGGGATCCAGAAGATCCAATATAATCTTGAAAAATTAGTAAAGTTAGAAGATTCACACTTATTAATTTCAAAACTTACTACAAAACTATAAAAATCAAGATAGTATAGTACTGGCATAAGGACAGAAAATGGATTAATGGAATTCAGAGTACTGCAGAAATAAACCCTCACATTTACATCAGCTTTTTTTTTTTTTTTTTTGACAAAGGGGTCAAGATAATTCAATGGGGTTTGTAAAGAACAGTTTTCTTAACAAATGTGGTAGGGACAAGTGGATAGCCATTATATAAAAGAATGAAGTTAAGAATGAAGTTTGATGCCTACCTCATACCATATATAAAAATTAATTCAAAATGGATGAAAGAACTAAATGAAAAGAGCTAAAACTACAAAACTCTTAGAAAATATACATGGAAATCTTTGTGACCTTGGGTTGGGCAAAGCGTTCTAGATATTTAACATCAAAAGAAAAGCAACAAAATTAAAAATTGGGTTGATGAAATCTAAAAGGTTTTATACTTCAAAGAACATCAAAGAAGTGAAAAGACAACGTACAGAATGAGAGAAAACGACTTGCAGATCACGTATTTGATAAGAAACATATCTAGAATATGTAAAGAATTCTTACAACCCAAAAGGACAACCCACCAGTTGCAGGGCATACCCCTGTAGTCCCAGCCACTCAGGAGGCCGAGGCAAGAGGATCTCTTTAGCCCAGAAGTTCAAGACCAATCTGAGGGGCTGGAGATAGAGCTCAGGGGTAGAGCACTTGCCTAGCATTTACATATGTAAACTCTGGGTTCAATCCTCAGTGCTTCAAAGAAGGAGAAAAAAAAAATGACCAACCTGAATAATATGATAAGACCTTATCTCAAAACCCAATCTAAAAAGGGCAAAAGATTTGAACAGAGATTTCTCCAAAGGATATATACAGATGAACCATAAGCACATGAAAAGATTGTCTACATCATTAGAGAAAAGTAAATCAAAAAACTATAAACTGTTTCACACTCCCTAAGAAGGTTAAAATTAGGCAATAACACGTGCTGGTGAGGATGTGGAGAAATTGGGACACCCCAACATTGCTGGTAGAATTGTTGATAGCTGCAGCCACTGTGGAAAACAATTGTCAGTTCTTCAAAATATTAAACAAACATCATATGACCCAGCAATTTCACTCCTAGGTATGTATCCTACAAACAAGTCCATAAAAAATATGTGACTATCCATAGTAGCATTATTCATAATAGCCAAAAAGTAGAAACCCAAATGTCCATCAACAGATAGATGAACACAATGTGATATATCCATACAGTGGAATATTAATTGCTAATAAAAACAGATGGAACGTGTTACAATATGGATGAAACTTTACACATTAAGGCCTTGTATCATAGGATTCATCTATATGAAATGTTCAGAATAGGTAAGTGTACATATAGTAAGTAGATTAGTAGCCTCTAAAGACTGGAGAGAACTGGGAGGGAATTATGGAGGGGGGATTGCTATAGGTTTGGAGTTTCTATAGGATGGGGTGATGAAAATGTTCTAAAAATATTGATAGTGGTGATGGCTGCACAGCTCTCTAAATATACTTTTTATTAAAAACTCACTGAATTAAAGACTTTAAAAGGGTAAATTTATTATGTATTATAATCTTGATAAAACTATTTTCAAATGAATTCAAAAGTGCTCATGTAATGTCCATACTTTAATAGACTAAAAGTGAAATAAAGAAATAACATAGTTTTACATTAACATTTAATTATGTTGTTACCAAGCAATCAAAACTTAAAATTCCCAAATAATATGTTAGTTTGAAGTACATAAATGCTTACATGAAGTGCTTTAGCAATCAATTCTCCACCTTCAGGTCCAATATCATTAAACATAAGATTTAAGTAAATGAGATACCTCTGTGTCTATGAGAGAGAAAAAAGAAGCTATTATACATGTATTATGGAAATCAATCATATACACATTTATTTAATTAAAAACACTAACCAAAGAAAATTTTTATGATCCAGAAAAACTAAATTCCAGCAAAAGCAAGTACCGTTAAGGAAAAATAATGAATTTTCAATAATAAGTGAAAGAAAATTACTGTATTCACTTTTACCAACAACTCCAAGTGTGGACATGCTATGGTAATTCATAATGGTGGGGGAAGAATAGAGGTATTTTGGACTAGAGAGAGGAGTGAAGGAGGGGGTATTCTGCGGCACAACCAGCGTGCGAGCTTCATAAAAGAGGTTCCAAGCATAGAAATTAACTAGTGAGTTTTAAAATTAGAGACATACTCTCGTTACCTTTAATAACCAGCTCCGGAGATGGCTTCTCCTAGCTCCCGCCTCCAGCCACCTAATGCGGTGAGCGAGAGAGGGAGAGCACGCCAGGGAGTGAGCTTTTATTGGGGAGCAAAAAATTCAAGGGAAAATCCCATCCAATGAAGGTCGAGGAGGGCAGCATTCCAAGGTCAGGGTCAGTGATTGGTCTTCAAGTCAGTGGTCAGGCACACCTCCACACGGACAAGCCCTCGCACCTGGGACTAGGTGGGGAAGGCTCTGACACAGTTGTCAAAGCGCCTCTCACCCAGCCAGGGAGGTAACTCAAATCACTTTTGAGAACGGCTTCCCACAGGGCATGGGTGTAGAAATGATTGTAGAATAAATTGGACATTATTACCCTATGTGCATATATGATTATATGACCTGGGTAACTCTACATCATGTACAACCAGACAAATGAGAAGTTATACTCCAATTATGTATGATATGTCTAAAGGCATTCTACTTTCATGAATAACTAATTAGAACAAATTTTAAAATATTTAAAATTATTAAAAAGTGTGGACATACTTTATGTATTTAACAATGATATACAAGTTTGCAAAAGATAACTCATGAAATCTGGGTATCAGCTCTACTGAGACCAAATATGAATTTCCATGTATTTCAAGTGTTATAAATATAGCACAGAGTCAGGACCTTGACATTTTGCATAACTAGTGTTTGTGTATGTGCCATTAGACTAAGTAGTTTCACTGTAAACAGAACTAAGAATATTCTGTAGTCAAATAATACCTGAAGCAGGTTTGCAGCATAGTATGCACCAGCATCACTTAGAACGTTATATCTCACATCCAAACCTGAAAGACACAGATGAAACTTTACATTCCTTATAAAATAGAACACTGAAGAGCAGGAGATACTTATTCTTAATCAAACATACCATTAATATATGGGCAAGTCTCTAAAATTTGGGAAAGAATCCCAAAATCTTCATCTGTTACTCTTTCTACTGGGATTAATCTATTGTTACCCGCGATGTTTAAGGTGATTCTTTTTTCCAATCTGTTAAAAATACAAAAAAAAAAAAAGAAAAGAAAAAAATGGAGAAAAGATTCTCAAATACAAAGATGACAGATACTGGAACCATGTAGTAGAATGATTTACTAAGTATATAGTAGATTTTTACCATGTAACTAAAAACTACTGGAATTCTATAGACTTTAGTGTATTCTGTATGAGTTAATTTCTCTCTTACACACACATATGCAAAGTATTCCCTCTTTATATTAACAACATAGACAATATTGATAATTTGCCTAAATTTGTCAGCTCACAGAGCTAAAAGGAATCTGGAGCCCTGACTTGAGGGCTCTTGGTCTAGTGCTCTTCCCAGTATCCTACACCATCTCTAAGATCTACCAACAGTGTCACTCATCTACTTATTCATCTGAATCAAAACATTCATCCATTTTTACCCAGCTTTTTCATGGCTATAAAATCAGTGACTTTCACACATCTAAGAATTAGTAAAACTACTAATGTAGTCAAATACTTATTTTTCTTACCCCTTTTTAATATCTTCATCCACTTCTTGGAATACATGCAATATATAAGGATTTATTTTCTTGGAGTTTTCCAAACACAGATTACAATAATATTCCTGGAGCCCAGCAATAGATTCTGGAACTTTTGAAAAAATAAATGTATCTATCATCACAAATTATTCTAAAAGTTTTCTCAATATATGTCCTTCAAAAGTGTGTGTGTGTGTGTGTGTGTGTGTGTGTGTGTGTGAGAGAGAGAGAGAGAGAGAGAGAGAGAGAGAATATGTTAAAGAAAAGGAGAGAGAACTAAGGATAAAAGAGAAGAGAAATAAAAGCAATGGGAAACCAAATAAAAATGCTGATATTCCTTATAAAGAATAATTTCTACGAGGGCCATTGATGCACCCACCAAGGCTGGGCAGACACTGGCTGATGACAGTGGAAATGACATAAAGGGAGAACTAATCTCTTTCCTTTGGTAGCTGAGGAAAATACTGTCCAGAGAAATATTTTATGTGAAGTCATGTAATAATAATGGAATGTGCAAAAATCAAACCGATTTCAGACTCTTCCCATTGTGCCATATGAACTGTAAATATAAATGAAGCAAGTACAACAGATTTCACAAGTGTGTGTGTGTGTGTGTGTGTGTGTGTGTGTGTGTGTTGGCTGCACCATGGACCAGGATACCAGAAATGTGTCAGATTTAGGAGTGGTTTTTGTGAAGGCATAAAGGAATCTTTGATTAGAGCCTAAACATTAGTTTAAGAAAGTTGCAAGAATATTTTTATTTAATTAGCTAGCCATATTTTAAAGCTTTGCTATATTTCCCTGTTACTTTTTTGATTTAAAATTCACCTGTGTTTTATATATGGAAATTTTATGGTGCCAATAATTGGCTTTCTATACTATATTCTTATTAGCATAAAAATATTAAATCAGTCTTCAAATTGTAAAGCAAATTGAAAGGCAAAACTAGGAAACAATAGCTACACGGGAAAATGTCAAGAATCTAACCCAAATTTCGTTTTTTATCTACACCTCTGGCAGACATTTAAAAATTTCTAGAGAACGGGCCTACTTATTTTGGAGGCAGCTCCCTCCAGATCATCTTTTATGGCGGAACAGCCACATACTGGAAAATCCAAGAGTTGGAATCAGATTTTGTCGCCCATACTCTGTGGTATGTAACTTTAAGCAAATTAAATTCTCAGAGTTTAAATTTCCTTTTATGCTAAAGACAGAGCATAATAATGCTTTGTTCCGGTGCAATGAGGATTAAGGCTCTTTATCCACCTTGTTTCACATCCATCAACACACACTTTAAAACAAGCCCAGTGACTGGAGAGGCCGAGGCAGGAAGATCTTTCTTGAGTTTGAGGCCAGACCTCTGCAACTTATTGAAACCCTGTCTCAGAATAAAAAATAAAAGGGGCTGGAGATGTAGGTAAAGTATCCCTGGGTTCAGTCTCTAGTTTCAAATAAATAAATCAGAATCCAAATTTGAAATAGGGAACAGGTGTCATTCGGGCTAAGCTTTTTTCGTTAAACTAAGGCAGTCCAAACGTGCAAAGTCAGAATGGTCTCCAGATTTCTCTTGCTCCACTGGGATCTGACCAATGTAGCTAAGAGCCCCTAAACACACCTTCCTTCAGACTCCGGAAAGCAGCTACGCGACTGGCGTGCACAGGGCACACCGCGGGCGGTCTGGGCTTCTCTTCTGCCCGCGTTTGGAGACTCCGCAAAGTCTGGTCCACAGTTGGGGTGCCCAAGGGCATCCTCCAGCTGCGCCGCTTTGGGCAGGCAGTTTGCTCGAGGAATCAGCCGGTGCGACACCGCTGCCCGTCGCGCGTTGCATCCGGGCCAGGTGGGAGCACTACGGCACCCTCCTTCTTACCGTTCTCGCTCGCGGAGGCCGAGTCTGGGTTGGGGTTAGGGGTGAGAGTAGGAGTTGGGGTATCATCGGTCTCCACCGCCTCGGCGGCGTTCTCCTGCAGGCTACTCGACATCCTGTGCTCTTCTAAACGCTGCTGCAGCGGCGACATTGCCCTGGCAACTGCTCGCCGCGCCGCTCCGCGCCATGGCCCGCCCAGGGGCGGTGCCTCAGGGAAAGAATGGGGCGGAGCCACGGCGCATGCCCAGAGCGCGGGGTCCAGAGTGTTGCGCGCTCCTTGCCCCGCGCGCGTGGGCCTTGAGGCCCTGCTGGCATGCGGAGAAGCAGATTCTGAGGCTCCTTGGCTACCCCGCCTGGGCTGAAAGGCACACTGAAGGAGGGCTCCCCGGCTCCTTTGCAGGGAGGAGTTCCCGGGATTTGGGTGGATATAGGGCTAGGGGCTGGGGCTAGAGAGACGATTATGACACAGCCGTCACCCGCAAAGGGTGCACAGGTCTGCGGATGCCAAGCTCTGGAAACTGATGGTAGCACCAGCACGCGTTAAGGACGTGGCGGTATGGGAACATAAAGGGTTTTGTGGAGGGGCGGGACCATCCAGGAGGACTTTCTGGAGGAGGTGACAACCAAACTAGTCAAGAGGTAACCTGTCAGAGGGCACAACTGCTTAGTGTGTGTTGCAGAGGCGCAGGTACTTTGGGTGTACCCGGATCAGTTCAAGGAGGTGAGAGGCAGGCACATCTTCCAAGGAGCACAACTGTGATGGAGCTGGAGCATCAACTGTTAAGGGACAGGGGCCCCCCGGAGCCCTCAGATCGCAAGACGCTGATGATGGAGGATGGATTTGACTGGAACTAGACGGGAAACCTAGTCACAGGCAGCTCCAGCAACCCAAGAGAGACTGGCTAAGGTGGGAGTCTTCACCGAAGGCGGCAAGAGGGGACAGAACCCAGTGATATTACAAAGTACTACTACGGTCAGGATGTGGGGCTTTTTTGAGTGTAGGGGGAAACAAGGTAGGAAAAGGGCAAGATCTTCTGTTTGGGAGTTGCCATAGACCGAAGCGAAGGAGATGGAGGGGACATGTAGAGGACTGTGGAACTATTTGAGACTCCTTGCGGGTGAGAAAGTGGAGGAAAATGCGAAAGGTGAAAACAGGCCACTTATAATTAAGTATAGAATGCTTGACTAGTGCATGCAAGACCCCAGGTTCAATCCCCAGTAAGAAACACACACACACACACACACACACACACACACACCCACCACACTTCTCCTTCAGCTAATTAGCTTTTTAAAACAATAAACATCGGAGTCCTTCCTCTTGTACTGGGCGAATTCCTAAACAAACCAGCACTCCATCTCATGAAATTGTGCTCGACCTTGCTTGCCTATATGTTTTAGAGTATCACTAGAAATGTCCTTTCTCCAGGTGAAACATGATGATTATAGGGAGCGCTGTATTCATTTATACTATGTGCTCCCAACAAAGTTAAGAGGCAGCTTGGAATTCTAAAGCAAGAGTGAGTCCAGTTCCAGTACCCATGTGCCTTTTCCTATCTCTCCCTTACAGTATTTAGAATTAAGAAGGTAAGGGAAAGCAAAGAGGGTGAGGATGCTACTACTAAGGAAGGATGGAATACTCTTCCAAGGAAACAATAAGTAGTTCCAGAGAGTGACTAACAGAATAGAAAAGGAGCTTCCTTAAACCAAGCAGCACCTATAGCACTGTTTTCCTCTCCACCTTAGCAAAACAAAGCAGAAACAATGAGAGAGCATTTACACCGAACTACAGTGATGTCAAATACATACAGAATAAAACGGTTGAAAGGACACAAATCACATCTACAACTACTTTCCATCAATACATTTCTCCTTATTAGTGATTCCTAGGTGGAGGGGGATGTAGTCCAAAAAGCTCCCTCCTCTTAAGAATCACTGAGGGGGGGAAGATGTTATTGAACAGATGTAAGGGAAACTTGGGTGGGTTTGCTGAATACTTAAATTCAAGATTCCAGAGTGGAGGTATAATTTGATTCTGAACTTTCTAGAAATCAGAACAAAAGATAATATATGTTCCAATAAAGGGCAGCATTTGCATTTTTCTGGCTTCTTATCCTAGGAAAGTTTAGTATGTATTCTTATATGAGTAACTTAATAAACAATGTACTATTGCTTGATAGAAGATCCATAAATACTTTTAAATGATTGCTTCTTTTGCTTTAACTCAATGTAACAATCCAAAATCATGGCATTCAATCATAATTTAAAGGTGTCATTTCTCTAGAAACCCAGATAATACTTACACAAAGAAAAGGCTTGCTGCCCAAAGCCCATAGAAGCCAATACTACAGCACCCCGTTTTTGAGAAAAGAAAGGGTTTTCATGTCAAGGAGACAGGAGGCATGCTCAAATCTGTCTCCTCTCTGAGTGTATCAAAGGAATTTAAGCAGCTTGGGGTAAGGAATTGTGCCCAGTAAAAGGGACCAGGGAGAATTGTGACTACTTTGTAACTAGGCAGTTTCCAGTCTCTTTGTTCTGGTCTGCTCTGCTCTGTAAAGTCCTGTTCTGATTATTTGTGTTCTACTCAATGAAGACTTTGGGTATAGCCAGGTTCTCAAAGTCATTTTAAGCCAAGTTGTAGGGTTCTGCACCTGTCTTCTGAGGAACAGCTTGGACAATTTTTAGAAATAGGGAATTTGCTGTTTTATAGACCAGTTTCAATATGGCCCATCTAGGGATGTTTTCTTATAATTTAGAGATGGAACTCAAAGGATTCAGGGAATTCATACTTAACATATCCATCAGCTATCTTTTTTTTCCCCCCTATCAGATGGCTCAACTGTGCTGCTATCAAGTGCTGGAACAGGGTAGACTTGTGGTTGAAATTTCTGACATTGAATTTTCTGAGGGGTATTTGGAGTGCTGGCTTCTGGTGTTATTCAGGCATGCATGTTAGGGTATTGAATATGCAGGTGGAAGAATTAGTGTTTTGTTACTTAAAAATTTTTGGCCCATGGATAAGAGTGAGTCATGAAAATTCTACATTTTTATTTTCTGATGAGATGGGAAAGTATGGTAGTGAAATACAGACCAATACCTTCTTGCTCATTATTAAAGGTAAGTTTGAAATAACAAATTCTTTAAAAATAAATAAACAAGATTTTTCCTGTGAATTGCCAGAGAGATGGTGTGAGTAGGGGAATGAAGAGTAGAAACACTCCAAAAAATGGGTAAAATGCCATTTTTGAGTCTATCTAAAGGAAATAAGTCCTGAGAAGCTGTTTAGATGAATAGTTTGGTGTTGGGCTGATGGGGGCACACTGCTGTACACAAGTGCTGACAATTCTGGCAAAGGGATATTCTGCTAAGGACTTTTTCATCTTTAGGCAACTGATCAGAGATTTTTTTTTTTTTAACCAGGGATTGAACCTAGGGAAACTTAACCATTGACACATCTGCAGCCCTTTTTATTTTGAGATAGGATCTCATTAAGCTGCTTAGTCCTTCCTAAGTTGCAGAGGCTGGCTTTGAACTTGCTATCCTTCTGACTCAGCCTCCTGAGCTGCTGGGATTTTAGACGTATACCACTGACCCTGCCCTGATCAGAGATTTTCAAAAGGATGAAGTTACTGAATCCCAGCTTATTTATCAGAACTCTGGGGATATTTTAAAGCCCATGATAAGGTTTTTCTTTTCCTCCTACCATTTTTCTCAAGCACAAAACATATCAAGGATCTAAAAATTCCAAACTCAACTCTTTAAAAAAAATTTTTTTTAGTTGATGGACACAATACCTTTATTTTATTTATTTATCTTTATGTGGTGCTGAGGACTGAACACATGCTAGGCAAGTGCTCTACCACTGAGCTACAACCCCAGCCCCCCAAACTCTACTTTTATGATTGGCTGAAACTTTGAGATTCTCTTCACCCACTGTTAAATATCTAACTCTCTTATAACAAGAAGTTCACTCTAGCTTATATGGAACTTCATTTCAAGGAATTTTATAGTTTCCCAGAAGTTTGTTTTAATCAAAGAAAAGGGTAGTGTTACTATAAGGTAGACAAGACTTTACCCACTAGGATCCCTTTCTGAACCTGAAAATTAATTTGACATAAAATAGGTAAGCAGAAGAAATCATACAAACAATATAAATTTGACAAGGTATGAGAGCCCTTGTAAGAAAATGTAGACCCAAAGAAGTGGCAAAACCTACATACTTTTAGATTATGTTGAACAAAGAAAGGCAATTCTGGAAAAGTAACAAAATTATGTGGGGAGGCTTAAGGAAGATTGGATTTTTTTTTTTTTTGGTATCAGGGATTGAACCTAGGGGTGCTTAACCACTGACCACATCCCCAGACCATTTATTGATTGATGATTGATTGATTGATTCATTCATTCATTTATTTTGAGATACGGTCTCACTAAGTTGCTAAGACTGGCCGTGAACTCCAGCCCCAGCCTTCTGAGTTGCTGGGATTACAGGCATGTGTCACCAAACCCATGGTGAATGCCTGTCTAGGAATTATTTTTAACAAGGTCTGTTTGTACAGAATTCTCTCAGCTACAACTCCCATTGAAGAGTGTTACCTTGCTCCTGGTTTAGGGAGGCCATCTTTCACAGGGAAGTTTTTTATCTCTTGCTTTCTGAGAAAAACAGGAAGATTTTCCCATATAAAATGCTTATCAACTTTTACTAAAAAGAAAATAATTTTTGCTGAGATTTGTATTGCTATTACATTGAAACTAGAGATTAAATTGGTGGATCTTTGACATTTCAACCTTATTGCATATTCTAATCCACGGGCATCCTTTATATCTTCATTTATTTAGGTTTTTAATTTCTTGTTTACAGCTTTGGTTCAAATCTCTGCCATTTAAAAATATTGCTTAGGGTTTTAAGCCCATTCCTCCAGCCAGACTTGGAGATCTAAAACATGAAATCTACAGGTTCTCTGCTTTTTAATCCAGCCTGTGACTTTCCCTACAGCCACTTAGTCAGCCAAAGTTTAATAGAGGACATCTATCTAGTGGGGAGAACTGATTCTAAACATGAGAACACTCCAGATTCTAACCTCCTATGCCAACCCACACAGGGCTGGTAATAAGTTTGGCTAGCTCTCCTCCTCCCAGAAGTTCTTCTCTGCCTACCAGCCCCAAATGTGAAATATGCCAGGCATGAAAGGGCCTCATCACTGGCTTCTACTTACATAAAAACAGCTGGTCCATGTCTAGAATTTCATTCTTTCAGCTGTCTTCAGCCTAGTGGCTTTAAGGAAAATAATAACATTTTAAAAATATGATTCCATTTCTATTTTTCCCCTCAGTGTTATGGCAAAACAATGATATTTTGCAAACTTCTATAGCCTATCTATAAGCATTTTTAGAAACTGGTATTAGACCCCCCCCTTTTTTCCATGTGAGTCAGCCTGTTAGGAGAAAGAGGATCCTATACTTTAATTCTTATCCTAACATGAAACACAAAAGTCTAAATTTTAGGTTGCATAATAATTTCAAGCACCAAATTTAATCAGTGAGATCTTAATTGTTTTCTTTCATAGAGATAGCAAATCTGTTGACTGGAGATTTCTGATATTTTTCTTTTCATAGTATTTTGGATTTTGAATATTTGAATTATTCTCCAAAATAATGTCAAAGGATTTACTAAAATTACAAGAACATTCACCTAAAGTTCTTCTGAGAAATGATCCACCACAGGTCACAGATAGGACATTCTTCATTGACGCTTCTAATCAAAGCCTGACTGCCATTCCACTGGAGATCTTGGCATTAAAGGAATTAGAAGAAGTGCATTTGGAAAATAACCAGATTGAAGCAATACCCGAGGACATTCAGCAATTAAAGAATGTCAGGATCCTCTACCTGAATAAGAACAAACTGCAGGACCTGTGCCTGGAGCTGGGGACGCTGAGCAACCTGGAGGGCCTGGACCTCAGTTACAACCCCCTCCTCTCCTCTTCCCTCCCAGTCATCAGCAGCCTCCGCTCCCTGCGGGAGCTCCGGCTCTACCAGACTGACCTGAGGGAGATTCCCATCCTGATCTGCAAGAGCCTTCGCCATCTGGAACTGCTGGGACTGGCTGGAAATCACCTGGAATCGCTACCGAAGGAAATAGTGAACCAGACCAAACTAAGGGAAATCTACCTGAGGAAAAACCAGTTCAAGGAGTTCCCGCAGGAACTCTGTGTCCTCTACGACCTGGAGATCATCGACCTGGACGAGAACAAACTAACTGCCATCCCAGAGGAAATCGGGAATCTGACGAGGCTGCAGAAGTTCTATGTGGCTTATAACAACCTGACCTTTTTGCCCGAGTCTCTGGGCCAGTGTAGGAAAATATCAGTGCTCGATTTATCGCACAACCTCCTCCATTCCATCCCGCGTACCTTTAGTGAGCTCCTGGAGATGACGGAAATGGGGCTGAGTGGGAACCGCCTTGAGAAGGTGCCGCGCCTTATCTGCAAGTGGACCTCGCTGCACCTGCTCTACCTGCGCGACACCGGCCTGTGCGCGCTGCGGCGCTCCTTTAAGCGGCTGGACAACTTGCGCTTCCTGGATCTCAGCCAGAACCACCTGGACCACTTTCCGAAGCTGATCTGTGGGCTGAAGAACCTAGAAATCCTGGCGATGGATGATAATCAAATAGGGAAGGTACTGACTCCCTTTCCTCTGTCACTATCTTCTTGGGGCTCTTCCTGCCCTAAGTTGGTGTGTTCTGTGTGTAAACAGAAAATCTGAACTGACTTTATGGGTGAAAATTCAGTGTGACCAAATATATCCTTAGGGGAGGGGTACTTTGTACTGTTTTCCTGTAAATAGCAGTGGCTATCATAAATAGCAGCTAATATTTAATTAGAACCTGTATGTGCCAGTCACCAAGCTAAGTATTTTACACCTCTTATTTTGTTTAATCCTTACAGTGACTTTTTTTTTTTTTTTTTTTTGTCTTTGTGAGGAAAATGACAGGCAGGGAGCTGAACTTGTCCAAGGCCACACAGCCTGTAAGTGATAGAGCCAGAGCCCAACCCACAGCTGCTGGCCTCCAGGGTCTATAATAAAGTCTACTTCCTGACAGGGTTTCCATAAACAGCAGGTTTTTCTTACACATACATTTAGACCTAAATGTTCCCATTCATGGGAAACTGCACAGATTTGTTCCTAATCTCCCACAGGTGTGCAGGCTTATAGTTCAAATTGGTCATTATAGCATTGTTGATAATCATGAAGTATGGGAGACAATCTGAATGTCCCTTAGTAGGGGATTGGGCAAAATCAACTGTGGTACATTTGTAACATAGAATGCTGTATCATAATCTAAGAACTGGAACTATATATGTGAAGGTGTATGGAACTCAAATTTTAGAATAAGAATCACAGTAAATATTTTCTGGTTCTGAGCACTTTAGATCAGCAGTTCTTTTTTTTTTTTTAAGACGGGGGGAGGAGGGAGAATTTTTTAATATTTATTTTTTAGTTTTCAGCAGACACAACATCTTTGTATGTGGTGCTGAGGATGGAACCCTGGCCGAACGCATGCCAGGCGAAAGGCGCTACCATTTGAGCCACATCCTCAGCCTAGAACTCAAATTTTAGTATTGACTAAAAAGTCACAAAATTGTGGAACTTTATCATACCATTTGTACATTATTAAATCACAAAAAATCACACATTTATACATTCATATATATGTATGTGCATACATATACACATAGATACATATTTTTATGGATATTTGTGTACATAATAAAAGTATGTAAATATAAATTGAAAGGAAAATTACTAAATTCTTGATGGTAGATGCCTCTTGGAAGAGAAAAGAAAGTCAACAAAATGGGGAAGGGATAATAAGGAAGCAACTTTAATATTAGAATTTCATTGTGTTTATTAAAAGATTTGTGCAGTGGGCATGCATGTGTTTTTATCTTTATTATTTCTTAATATTTGAAAATTAAAAAGAATAGAGTTGCTATTTCAAGCAAAGGGCAACTGCAGAGAGAGAAAAGGGAGATTTTGGAAATCAAAATCTGGAACCAAATAATAGTTCTGATTTTCCTGGCCATGGACACCAATCTCATATATTCACCAAAAGTTATAAAAAATCCTGGGCCTTATGGATTTATATTTTAAATATTTGTGGGGGGTAATAGGGATTGCACTCAGGGGCACTCAACCACTGAGTCACATCCCCAGCCTATTTTGAATTTTATTTAGAGACAGGGTCTTACTGAGTTGCTCAGTGCCTCCTCATTGCTGAGGCTGGCTTTAAACTCGAACTCCTCCTGTCTCAGCCTTCCAAGCTGCTCGGATTATAGGCATACGCTACCCTGCCCAGCTATATTTTAAATATTTTTGATTTGCAATTTCTAAAACTTTTTCCTAATTGCTATGGGGTTTTCTTTTCTTTTTAGGTTTCACAATTTTATTTTATAGAAAAGTATTCAATATATACTTATTGAGCACTCTATTGCTGTGGGGTTTTAAAACTACATTTTGATGGTAATCTGAAATATACCAAGAGAATCTAAGACTTACTTTCTACTAAGGTAGCACCCCACCTTGGAGAATTTTCAAGGTTCCATTGTACATGACAGCAAAATCCCCCCCACTATTCAACTGCTTATATAAGAAATTCTTTTTAGTGGACAAGCCTTTCATTCTAGAGTTGAAGTGAAAGAAATTAAAACATAAAGTGCTTTGGGGAAAGAAAACACATTGACTTCATTCCTATCAAGTTATAAAGGATACCTAATCCTTTCTTGAGAAATTTTAAGAGGTCAGAGTCATACAGAGTCTGCTTGTTGACAAAGATAAGCCTTATTCAATACCAAGAGTTACTGTAAATGAAACTGTACTGCAATGTAGACATGATAAATATTTTTATATTGAACACAAAAATCTCTATGTACCATTGCTTTTATCTTTAATAATTCTGATGGCATGTTTTGTGCTTTTGTCCTTCTTTCTAGTTTTCCTCTTAGGCTAATTCCACCTGTAACCTCCAGGGCGTTTCTCTCCTTAATGACACATGTCCTTCAAACTAGCTTCTTATCTCTCCCATCCCAAAATCTCAGCTGATGGGTTTTTGGCTCTTGAAGCCTGACCAATGGCTTCTGTTTGCCTAGGTGGATAAAAAAAAATAGCTGATGTTCGATGCATGGACTTAATTTGTACTGTAGATTTCTATTAAGGGAGAAAACCAAAACAATGGATTCAACATCAAAATGGCATAGCTCAATTATAGTGCCAGCAATCATTCCCCTCTATTGATGTGCTGTAGATTCACTCTATATCCAGATTTATTTCCATTATACTTTAATATGACTATGAGAATCTAGATATTGGATCCTGAAAAAAATCTCTGAACATTCAATATACTTTGAAAAAGAAAAGCTAAACCTATGTGTTAAGTAAACAGCAATAAGAGCGAAATCACTAAGTTAAAATAAAGTTATTAGATTAAAAAATCTTTTCCCATTGTTTTGAATTGCACCAAACACAGGTGCTTTCTTCTTCTTCTCCTTCTTCTTCTTGGTATTGAGGGTTGAACCCAGAGATGCTTTATCACTTAGCTACATCTGCAGTCCTTTTTATTTGTTATTTATTTTATTTTTTTAAATATTATTTCAGTGTCTTGCTAAGTTGCTGAGGCTGATCTGGAACTTGCTATTCTTCTGCCTTAGCCTCCTGGGTTGCTGGGATTAAAGGTATGTGCTACCTCATGCCCAGCATGCAGGTGCTTTGTATGGAAGAAAATAAAATGCCTGATGAAGAATTTTTAAAAACCAAGGAAAAGAGTTTAAACATCAATTTCTCTGAAGATTGACTTAATCTGATTTTTAAAAGTAAATAAATAGCTGTATATGATGGCACATGATTGTTAATCCCAGTGGCCTGGGAGGCCGAGGCAAGAGGATGGCAAGTTTAAGGCCAGCCCCAAACTGGTGGTAATAATAATAATAATAATAATAACGATGATAAAATAAAAATACATTTTTTAAAAAGTAAATTTTTAAAACTGAAAACATTTTAAAAGTATTGGGAAAGTGAGACCATATTTTATGCACACACAAAAGAAAAATGTCTTCTGGTTGATTCTAGGTATGTGAGACTTTAACAGATAAGTTGTGCATCTGGTGGGCTTGCCCTTGCCCCAAATGTGAGACAGTGATCTGTCTCTTCCACCTAGCTGTCGAGGTGTGAGGGAGAGGGGGCCTTCGATGAGCTGAGGTCAAACCAGAATGGAAAGCAGGATAGCAGATTAGGGAATGGGTGGGAAGAATGCCCAAGGGTAATGCAGGGGAACTAGGAGAAAGGATTTCCTGGTCAGGAATAAAACCAAATTCAAAAGTACGTGAGAAGCAGATGAGATGCATGGCTGGGCTTTTTTCTTTCTACAAGAAAATCTGTAACACAATTAATAGTGTGATTATGTCATATACATTTTAAAAATGAGATTTTTTTCCACGAGGTTCAAGAGAGCCAGAAAGAGACTGATTGGTGAACATGATAGTCATGCAGATTATGATTTGTTGAAAGAAGGGAATCTGATGTTTAGAGGTATTGGCTGAAGGTAATGAGCTTGTCTCTCCAGGTGATGGGTAACTAGGAGCCTAGGTGGCTAGTTATCACAGTGGTGGCACAGAACCTCCCTACAGGCTTCCAACCCCAGAAGTTTGGCTATCTGTGAGATGCCCACCTATTACCCATATGGGACACTGGAGCTTTAGTATTCACTGGAAAGCAGAACGTGACAAGTGAGGGTCATAATAGTCTTCACCAAATGCTCCAATTGGAAATGGTATGAACACATGTTTGTTTCCAACTGAGATTTCAACTGGGGTTTCAAAATTGCTCAATTAAAGCCTTTAGGGCCCGATGTGGTGGCATACGCCTGTAAACCCAGTGACTCAAGAGGCTAAGGCAGGAGGATTACAAGTTGGAATTCAGCCTCAGTAACTTAGCAAGACCTCCTTGTCTCAAAATAAAAAAAAAAATAAATAAAAGAGATGGGGAGGTAGCTCAACGAAAAAGCACCCCTGGGTTCAATCCTTGGTAGCACAATAAATAAAGTCTTTACTGTAAAGGATGAGAGTCACATTACTAAATTTGTTAGTTCTGGTAACTGAATTTATTAATAATTAATTATCACTGCAATATTATACAACCACAGTACCTTTTCTTTTAAAAGTATCAGGCATTTATCATATGTGAGTTCATAAATTTGCAATAAAGCATGTTATAATCACTCTGATTTAAAGTAGTGCATAAAAGTGGGAACCAGAAAGGTGATAGGAAAAAAGGTAGAATCTCAGAGTTATGATCTACAAGTAAATATACTGCATGTGTAAACTTTTCACAGTAAGAGATGCTGCCTTGCCCTACTTTTCATTTAGCAATCTGCCTCAAAACCAGAAGTGGCATTTATTTTCTGACTGTTAAAGATAATCTTGATTTTAAACTTATCTCTTTGGAATACTTCTAGTTGCCTTTGGAGTTGGGCTTACTTTCAAACCTGAAGATACTTGGACTATCAGGAAATGAGTTCTCTTCCTTCCCAGAGGAAATCTTTTCTTTGGTGTCTCTAGAGAAGTTATACATGGGGCAAGACCAGGGATCCAAGCTTACCCAAGTGCCAGAACACATTGGGAAATTACAGGTAAGTCCCAAATGAAGACAGAAGCAGGCCACTTACCCCTAAATACAGGGCCTAAGAAAACACAAGGTGCCCCAGAAGCTGGGTATAGGATCATCCATGTTAGATTTTCAGTTCCAAACAAGTAGTCATTTTTACAGTTTGAGGTTTTGCTGTCACTGAACAACCACATGATGATCACTGCTGGATATGTCATGCCATATTTATTTCCATTGTGGGTTTGGTCATGTTCCAGTTGTAGAAATTAAGTTACACTTCTTTCAAATACATTTGCATATTGGTAAGTAGTCCCCTGAAAACTGTACTATTTTCAAGCTAGAGTACTGTACTAATGGCACGACCAGGGTCTGCATTCTGGTAGAAAGGATTCCCTCCAAGAGGTGGTGTGAGCTCCCTCCCTGCTTGGAGATGAGCAAATTATGTTGCACCAGGTTCCTGCTGATGATGGGTCCACAATACAGTGCTGAATCCTACAAAAGTAACAAGATAGCTTCATTAAGAGGAGGCTTACTGGCATCTTTTTATATATTCATCCTTTAAAGGACTGGTGTTTTCCCCATGTTACTGAATTCTTAATAATGATAAAGTAGATAGCTGGGTGCAGTGGTACAAGCCAGTAATCCAGTGATTTGAGAGGCTGAGTCAGGAGGATTGCAAGTTTGAGGCCAGTCTCAGCAATTTATTTTGAGACAGTGAGACCCTGCCTCAAAAAAAAAAAAAAAAAAGGAAAGGGCTAGGGATGTAGCTCAATGAAAAAGTTAACTATGGATTTAATTCTCAGAATAGATAGATGATAGATAGGATAGATAGATGATAGATAGAAGTGTGGGCTACCATAAAACCCCCCAGTTATGGAACTGACCAACATGGCATGTATAACAGGTAATCTTCACTGTGACATAGAAGTCCTGGTCCTAATTCCCCATGCCTCTACCCTATGTTCATAGAACAACTTTTGTCTTCTAGCTCCTTGTACATGTTATACCACAATCAAAGAGTGAAATGCAAACACTGAATTTTTACCCAGGAAAGTTGGAAATAGTTATTGAACCCAAACCCATTATCAGTGCATTTTGTCTACTTCTACTTAAGTCAATGTTAGGTTGATAGCTGAAGCAATTATAATTCTCTCATAACTTCTGTGGATAACTAGTTATTGAAAGGAAGCAAGTGATAAATGCAGTTAAATTGTCCACACTATTTTTCTGTAAAGTTGTAGTAAGATAAATTTTCCATATTTTCTTTTCCACAAATAAATGGAAACTAAATCTTTATTAATTGTTCAAAACATTACAGAGCTCATGATATATCATCTTTCATACATTTGACTCAATTGGGTTTTGAACTCCCATTTTTACCCCAAATACAGATTGCAGAATCACATCTGTTACATACTCACATTTTTACATAATGGCATATTAGTGACTGTTGTATTCTGCTACCTTTCCTATCCCCTACTATCCCCCCTCCCCTCCCCTCCCCTCCCATCTTCCCTCTCTACCTCCTCTGCTGTTGTTCAATTCTCTCCCTTTTTTTCCTTCCCCCTTGCCCCTCATAACCTCTTATAATTTTGTGTATCATTGAAGGTCTCCTACCATTTCCATATGCTTTCCCTTCTCTCTCCCTTTCTCTCCCCCCATTCGTCTTTGTTTACTGTTAGTCTTTTCCTCATGCTCTTCCCTCCTGTTCTGTTCTTAGTTGCTCTCTTTATATCAAAGAAGACATTTGGCATTTGTTTTTTAGGGCTTGGCTAGCTTCACTTAGCATAATCTGCTCTAATGCCATCCATTTCCCTGCAAATTCTATGATTTTGTCATTTCTTAGTGCTGCATAATACTCCATTGTGTATAGATGCCACATTTTTTTTATCCATTCATCTACTGAAGGGCATCTAGGTTGGTTTCACAGTCTAGCTATTGTGAATTGTGCTGCTATAATCATTGATGTGGCCGTATCCCTATAGTGTGCTCTTTTAGGGTCTTCAGGGAATAGTCCGAGAAGGGTGATAGCTGGGTCAAATGGTGGATCCATTCCCAGCTTTCCCAGGAATCTCCATACTGCTTTCCAAATTGGCCTCACCATTTTGCAGTCCCACCAGCAGTGTACAAGTGTACCCTTTTCCCCACATCCTCGCCAACACTTATTGTTGTTTGACTTCATAATGGCTGCCAATCTTACTGGAGTGAGATGGTATCTTAGGGTGGTTTTGATTTGCATTTCTCTGATTGCCAGAGATGGTGAGCATTTTTTCATGTACTTGTTGATTGATTGTATGTCCTCCCCTGAGAATAATAAGTACTTGTTGATTGATTGTATGTCCTCCTCTGAGAATAATAGTTGATTATGGTCCTTCAAATTTGTTTTTCCTTTTATCCCAATGCATGATATTCCATTGAGTGCTCATAGGCACTCAAAGGGGATTTTGGTTATTATAATTCATTTTTTCAAGATAAGGATTATTGTGGTGTACTATCATGTTATTTCAGAGTCTTAAAGAATTGTATGTAGAGAACAATCATCTGGAGTTCCTGCCCGTATCCTTGGGAACAATGCCTAACCTGGAAGTTCTTGATTGCCGGCACAATTTGCTTAAGCAACTCCCAAATGCCATTTGCCAAGCACAAGGTGAGAAACTTATTAGACTCACACCTAGGAGAGTCTGCAGTCAACAGTCCCATGATGAACATCTTCCTTGCCTGATTAAAGATCCATCTCGGTGCTTGGAGAACCGAGCCCTGTCCCACTACCTCCTTTCAGGGCTCACTAGTGAGTGATGTGGGAGAGGCCAGGCCCTGATCATGAGGTTAAGAGTTTTACACACGTAGGTTGTAATTTGAGTTGGAAAGAGAAATTAATAGCAACTGCTGAAAAAATTAGCATAAGTACACCTACCATCAGCAGAAGTTTACTGAATACATCCTGTATGTCAGAATTTTGAGTGGGGGGTCCTGCAATAAATTTTCATATAGGACACCAGTCACTTGAATAAAAGGAAAAGTATGGCATAGAATGGTGAAATCAAGAATGGACTTTTGCAATTATATGATTGACTTGGAAAATCACATAACAAGCCAGGCATGGTCACACACAGCTGTAATTCCAGACACTCCTGAAAGCCTGAGGTAGGAGGATCACAAGTTCAAGGCTAGCCTCAGCAACTTAGTGAGATCCTCTCTCAAAAAATAAAATATAGATTCTGACCATTCATTATAGTATGTTTATCATTTTGATGAAGTTTTATGTGCATGCATGTGTAGACCTGCATGTGCCTTGATAGTTTCTGTACCAAAAAAAAAAAAAGTACCCAAATATTTTCCACTGGGCTAATTTTTTTGTCTGCACATGCATCCATCCATGGAACCATTCATCTGTCTACCTAGCCATTCATCCATCCATCTACTTAACAAGCTTTTGTTGAGTACCTACTAGGACCAGATGAAATTTTTTGGCCACATTCTGATGAATCTCCAGGTTTACTGACATGTTTTTAAACTGTGGCTATTCAATGAAAGGAGGTGAAGAAATATGAGAGTTGAAGTTGTCACCTGCATACAAGACATTTCAAAAATCAAGGTCAGGTGTGGGAATACTCCTGTTCTTGGTCCCTGGAGGAGTAAAATATTCTCAAAGTTTTCAGTGTTAACTCTCTTCCTGTCCCTAGTATTTATTTACACTAGCCTAAATACTTCCTGTTGTTATGAAGAAGAGAACTTGGTTTGCCCCATTAAATCAGATGCCTCTTGTACATGGCAGGAAATGTTTCAAAATAACTGGACTAACAAATGCATATTTTAATTTTGCCTGATTTTTATTATGCATATGATTTGTATTATGTTCACGAAACATACAAATCAAAATTTCCCTGTATTTATCTTTTCTTCGGTAAATCAAGTAGAGAAAAGTAGCTGAGTTTGTAAGCCATTTATCATGGAGTATGATTTAAATAAAATTTTTCTCTTCTCCCTCCTTTATACTGAGTATTATCAAACTTTTCATCTCTGCCTATAGGATTAATGAAATACTGCATTTTGGTGTTTCATTTGCATTTGTTTTCATTGGGTGATGTTGAGTATCTTTCCCAGGTTTACTAGTCATTTTTATTTCTCTTTCAATGAAGAGTTTAAGATAATTCCTTGCAAAATATAGACCTGAACCATTATAGTATGTTATCATTTTGTAAAGTTTTATGTGCATGTATCTGTAGACTTGCAAGTGCCTAGATATTTTCTGTAAGGACTCACAGAAATCTGATAACAGTGGTTCCTTGTGACAGTTAAGATGTGACAGGGTTGGTATGAAAGGGGGAATCATTTTTATACTTTGTTTGCTGCTTTGGTATGCATACATTTTTATTTATATGAGGTTACTTTTATATCAGAAAGTATACAATTTTTCAAAAAAATAATTTGCCTATTAACTTGAGAGTGGTAGAGAAATGACTATGTGAGTCAGATGCCCCACGTTCCACTCTCTCTATTGACTAGACAGGTCACATCCATGTGTCCAACCCTGGAGTGATAATAGGAAGTAGCAAGGCTTGTAGGCTACTGGAGTGTCCCATCCAAAGGCACAGAGTCAGGTCTTCCAATATTCTGCTGATCTAAGAAACAAGTCTGAGGGCAGTTTTTTCCAGTGAGCCATCACTTGGCAACTACTGCTATAAAATAAAAGCAAAACCAAACAAATGAAAGAAAACCCCATAGATGACATCCACTCTTAGAAGGATAAGAATATCCAATTGCTAAGTTTCTACTTTCTCTATTATGAGGAAGAAGACACGTAGAGATGGGCTTTTTATTAGATGAAATGAAAATATTTGTCCGTTCTTATACATCTGTGCTCTGATTTCTCTTACTAATGCAGAGGTGGATCCCTCAAATACTGGGCAGGTTTAGGAGCCAAGTTAATGTTGTTTGTTCTTAAGATAAAAATCACCATTTGACAAAGTTAATTGGATAACTTTCCTTTAGTTACACCCCAAAGTCATTGTTTATTCCTTTTACATATACATATATTGTTGTTATTATTTATTTATTTATTTATTGTGGTGCTGGGGATTGAACCAGGGCCTTGTGCATGCTAGGCTCTACCACTGAGCCACATCCCCAGCCAAAATCCATTTGAAACCAAAATCTTTCTAGGCTTGAAAGAGTTGCTGCTAGAGGACAACTTGCTCACCCATCTCCCAGAGAATTTGGACCGCCTGGTGAACCTTAAGGTTCTTACACTGATGGACAACCCCATGGAAGATCCCCCCGAAGAAGTGTGTGCTCAAGGAAATGAGGCCATATGGAACCACCTTAAGGAAAACAGAAGAAAGAAAATAATGGTCACAAAGGTAAAATCAGCACAGATTCTTGTTAACACATTTGTGGGGTCTAGTGTTAAACAAATTGGGAATTTTTCTATGGAGCCGGTTTTTATATTTCTCTACCTTGTCCTTCTTGGGAAGAGACTCTTGTTATTTAATATTTATTTTTTTAGTTGCAGTTGGACACAATACCTTTGTTTTATTTATTATTTTAATGTGGTGTTGGGGATTGAACCCAGGGCCTCACATGCCCTAGGTGGGTGCTCTTCCACTGAGCCACAATCCCAGCCGCAGGGAAGAGACTCTTAGGTACTTTTATGGAATTTTTGAGAGAATTTTTAAATTTTGGCTCTCATATTTTTGTCCTGTATGTCTCCTATCTCTTGTCAAATAAGAAACCAACACATAAGCAAAGGAAACCAAAACTTTAAATCCCAAGGACAATCTAAAATTCTTGAACGATTTCACTTGAGTGAAAAAAGCTTGTATTAACAAAGGAAGAAAATTGAAGTTGAAAAATTAAAAATGAAAGCATTTGTGGATCAGAAGCTCAAAGACCAGAGTTTTGCTGAGCCAGGGCCAGGATCAAAGGGCAAGGAGCCTTGGGATCCTGCTCTTGGCCATGGAGTCCATGAGACATAGAATGCGCCAGACAGACCAGGAGAGGTGTCCACTTCAGTCAGTGCTGGGGATTGAACCCAGGGGTACTTCACCACTGAGTTATACCCCAGCTCCTTTTGTTTTATATGTTGAGACACAGCCTCACTAAGTTGCTCAGGATGGTCTCGAATTTGCAATCCTCCTGCCTCAGCCTCTCTAGTTGCTGGCATGACAAGCCTGTCAATGTTCTTTATTCTTCAGCGGGTCAAGTCCCCATCATCTCTTACCAGTGTCACTACATTAGTCCCCAAATTGTCATCCCTACTTCCACATCCACTTTCCCTATAATCTGCCTCCACTCAATAGTCATACAAAGCCTGTTAAAATAGATTGGATAGCACTACTCTTTGCTGAAATCAACAGTTATTCTTTCACTGGAGCAAGAATCAGTCTTTGGTCTGAAAGATTCTTTACCAATGACTCTCAACCCTATCAGACTTACTACCCTCCCTTTTATAAGAAATATTTGTGATATCTCCTTTTCTAAAATTTTAATAGAAAATATCACCTATCAAAACATCATTTCAATAAATCAAAATAATGCACAAATTACAACATAAAGAAATTTTATAATTGTGTTATAAATTATAAAGTAAATTAGATTTTTTTTTTGTATTGGGAATTGAACCCAGGGCTGCTTCACCACTGACCCACATCCCCAGCCCTTTTAAATATTTTATTTAGAGATAAGGTCTCACTGAGTTACTTAGAGCGTCCATAAATTGCTAAGGCTGGCTTTGAACTCATGATCCTCCTGCCTCAGCCTCCCAAGTTGCTGGGATTATAGGCAAGGGCCACTGCATCCAGCATAACCTGCATTTCTATTACGTTTTCCCTCAAAGTTGATACTAAGGTTTTACATGTATTTTATTTTATTCTTTTCTGGATTTTTTTTTTCCAGAAAAGATCACACATGCAAGGCAAACCCTTTACCACTGAGCTGTGACCCCAGCCCCTACTTTTTCTTTTTGGTACTAAGGATTAAACCTAGGGGAAATATACCACTGAGCTATATCTCCAGTCCTATTTATTTATTTTAAAATTTGAGACAGGCCAGGATCAGTGGCATAATCTGTAATCCCAGCAGCTCAGGAGGCTGAGGCAGGAGGATCACAAGTTCAAAGCCAGTCTCAGTAACTTAGTGAGAACCTGTCTCAAAATAAAAAGGGCTGCAGATGTGGCTCAGCGATTAATCAGCCCTGGGTTCTATCTCCAGTATGGAGGGGGGTAGTTGATACAGGGTCTAGCTAAGTTACTGAGAATCTCACTAAATTGCTAAGGCTAGCCTCTAACTTGCAATCCTCTTGCCTCAGCCTCTGAAGTTGATGGGATTACAAGTGTATACCACCACGCTGGCTCCTTAACTCTTTTTGTCCAGCTAGGCAACAAAACATTTATATAAATTCTACTTTTAAACTAAATTTTTTTCTGTGAACGTGTTTTTTCAATATTTCAGGTCATTTTATTACAATTACTAATAGTATAAAATCATCTAAAAGAACAAATTTGTTACAAATTTTTATAATTGTGAGACATATCCAAATGAGAGGGACTTTTTTGCACTTTGTTTCGATAACCATGCACAAATATTGTGAATTTCTAGAAGGAGACAGGTTTTATCATGGATTCTACTCATGTAAATCTTTATTCACAAAGATGAGTTGTGAGAATGGAAGTTTTTTTGTATTATTTTGTTTTAAATAATAATGCCTCACACATTTCTGAACTTCTTCCAGATTTATATATCTAAAAGGAGAACGCAGGTCTTAGCTGACATATCAACTAGTCTTGCTTCTAATTTCTGTCTTTTTTTTTCTTCTATTTTTTGAAAGCAGAGTTGGAATTCCTCAGTCCTTGAGCCGTTTGTGGCTACACTTGTGTTTTGTATTGTCCTTTCTCTTGAAACTCCAGACATTTTGAGTCCAGGGCAATACTTCATAGCAAGACCTAGAAGAATTCAAGGTGTGCCAGTTCTCTGGAAAGTGCCAGAAGGGCAATGGTGAAGGGGATCAGCAGTTGTATTCCCAGGCTGATCTTAGGAAGGGGCAGTAGGGAAGTGGAAGCTTGGGAGAGAGATTGCTTTCAAGCTACTCCTGCCTGCACACCTTTCAGGAAGGTCGTGGTGCGGACTACACATCACAGGATGAGAGACTGCTTAACCCAAACAAAAAATACTGTATGTTTCCAAAGTGCCTCTAGAGGGCGCACTGTTCCTTAAATAATCACCTCCCTGTTTTCACTCCCCATCTTTCTCTTCAACTTAAATCAGATCCTGAGTGTTCTTCCAGGAACCAAGCATCATCCTGCCTCAGGGCCTTTCCTCTGCCTAAAGATGCCTTCCCCAGATATAGGCAAGATTCTGGTCCCCACTTCAGTGTCTTCTCCAAAGTCCTCTGACAAGAAAGAGCCCTTCCTGATCTACCTTATATAAGACAGCATAGCCCTACCACCTCATTCATTTAATCAGTAAATATCTATCAATTTTCTACCATATCCCAGGCACTATCCTAGGCACTGGAAATACATCAGTGGACAACACAAATATTTCTGTCCTCGAATTGCTTTAAATCCTAGTGTGAGGGGAATAAAAGCATGAAAAAAATAAAACAAAGTTTTATACTATGTAAAAAATGATAAGTGCTGTTGGGGGAAAAATAAGTTGAAACTTAGGGGAACTGAGATTGCCAGAACTGGTGTGTATGTAAACAGAGAGAGTGTTGATTTCCAGGAGATGATCAGGGTAGGTCTCATGGAAAAGACTGCTGCCGTAGTCCACCAGGGCTGCCATAACAGGGTATTGTACTCAAATGGCAGAACTGTGGTGGGAAGCACAAGGTCTCTGATGTCTCTTAAAATGACCCTAATCCCATCCTAAGGGCCCCACATTCATGCTCTCATCTAAGCTTAACTCCCCTAACCCCCCTCCAAATAGCACCACATGGCAGGTTAAGGCTTCAAGATCTGAATTTGGAGGAACACAGTACACTCCTCAGCAATGACAATCAAGCAAACACTTGAGAATCAAGCCTTCTGACCATTGGAAAGTTGGTTAGAGGCAGAGAGAGTACAAAGGCCCCAATTTAGGATTGTGTCTGGTGTCTCTGAGCAGGAAGGAGGCTCACGTGGATGGGAGTGAACAAGACAGAGACTAGTTAAGGGGTCCAAGAGGTCATGGGAGGAAGCAAATAAGATAGGGCCTTGAAGCCATTGGAAGGACTTTGACTTTAATTTTGGAGAGAATTCGGGGGCCACAGGAAGTTCTGATAAGAATCTATTATGAGAGAAGAGGTTTTCCTGAGTGAGTGGAACAGAGTAGGACCGAGGGAATAGGATCCGGCTCTAGTGGGAGCTGGTTTTAGGTAGGAGCCCTGTTGGATAGCAACTGAGGTTACACACGGATTCCCCAGGCTTCCATTTCTATGCACGCCATTCTCCACAGTACTTGTCACCATCTGTCAAAATATATATATACATGTGTTTATTGTTTTTTCTGCCCACTGAAATGTGAGCTTCAGAAACTCAGGGACACTAATATTTAATTGCTGTTTCCCAAATGTAGAACAGTACTTTTTTTTTTTTTGCTTGACTGATTGGCTGATTGAGAAAGATAGAATATAAGATTTAGAATTCAAGCCACCTCCCACTCTCTGCATCTTTAAGACCACACACCAGAACAAAGAGATTTAATGATCTCCAGTGTATCATTGTCTTAATCCATTTTTGTTGTTGTTGCTATAACAGAATACCTGAGAACAGGTGAGTCATAGAAAATAAATAAAGGTTTATTTGGCTCATGGTTCTCAAGGCCAGGAAGTCCAAGAGCAATGGTATCTGAAAAGGGTGTCACAATATGGCAGAAGGTGAAAGTACAATTGAGCCCATTCCAAAGGAGGCGAAACACACGTGGAGGCCTTGCTTTGTAACGGTTGTCTCTTGCTCTCATTAACCCAGTCTTATGAGAACAAGGACTGAGTGTTAAGCCAGCATGGCCCAGCAGCTTTTAAAGATTCCACCACTTCTCAATGCCATTACATTGGGAATCGTATCCACGTGAGTTCCAGAGGAGACAGACCAAATTAAAAAGGCGACAATCATGACATCAGCAGATGCTAAGTTTGGGTTTACTTTGTTTGCAGATCCAGGCATGGTGGCGTGGGACCATGGTACGGAAAGGATTTGGGAAATATGAAGAACTAATCAAAACACGAAAGAAAGGAAAGACGTCTCCAAAAGATAAGAAAGGAAAGAAGGTGGAAAAAGGAAAACCCATAAAGGAAAAAAAGAAATAATTCTTATAAATTAATGAATTGAGGTAGTGATTAATGGATTAAGAAGGCAAAATGACCAGGAATCAGATGCCTTCCATGCTCAAACTTATAGAATTGTGGTTATTTGTGATAATAAATGATTCCTACTTTTGCTGAATTATTTATGGACAAAAGAATATATCTGGGAATGGCTTCAAAATAATATGGGGGAGGAGGAAGAGAATAGAGATTGGCTATAAACCAACAACTGTAAAGCAAGTGGTTGGTACTAGGAGTTTATTTTAATATTATGTCTGCTTAAAATTTTATTTTGAAAAAATTATAGATTCACAGGAAGTTCCAAAGAATGGTACAGGTAGATCCAAGCACCCTTCACCCTCCCTCAATGCTAACATCTTACATAATTGTAATATAATAATAAAACTACAATGACATTGGTACAATCAACAGAACTATTTCAGATTTCTTCAGTTTGCACATGTCCTGGTGTGTGTGTGTGTGTGTGTGTGTGTGTGTGTGTGTTTCAATGCACTTTTGAAACATGAGCTTTCTATAAACCATCACAATCAAGATACAGAATTGTTCTTTACAAGTCTCCCTTGTGCTATTCTTTTGTAGTCATACCTACACTACGAACCTCAATCCCTAAACTGTTCTCCATCTCTAAAAGCCCATTATTTCAAGAATGTCACATAAATGGAATCACACAATTTGTAATTAAGATTGACTTTTTTCTACTTAGCATAATCACTAGTAGTTCATCCAAAATATTGCATGTATTAAGTTTATTCCTCTTTGTTTCTGAATATATTACATAGACCACAGTTTTTTTAAGCATTCATTCTCTGAAAGATATTGGGTTCTTTCCAGTTTGGGGCTATTACAAATCAAGCTGCTATGAACATTCATACACAGATCTTTGCATAAGCATAGATGTTTATGAAATTCATGGCACTGCACAGGGAAGAGAATATCACATTAACCAAAATATGCCCTTCTATAGCCCTCAAAACCACTCACCCTGATGACTCTTTTGAAGTAGTACTGATTTAAAATTTACATGTTTTCTAAGCAATGATTGCAATCCTAATTATATTGTAGCTAGAGAAAAGCAAGACACAATGTGATTTGATGGTATCAGAACAGAAATGTGTATGCAAACATCTCTGCTCTGCAATGGCTTTGATGCAGTAGTATAAGAAAAACAAAAACAAAAATATTGGGGGTGAAGGTATAGGGAATTGAACCCAGGGGTACTTAACTACTAAGATACTTCCCCATCCCTTTTCATTTTTATTTTGAGGCAGGGTATTTCTAAGTTGCTTAGGGCCTCAATAAGTTGCTAAATCCAGATTTAGCAAACATGGAATCCTCCTGCTCAGCCTCCTGAGTTGTTGGATTACAGGTGTGTATGCCACCAAGCCTGGTTTCAAGAAAAAAATTTTTTCAAAAATTGCTTAGAGAAACACAAAAGTTTTTATTAATGAATTAGTAATAAGAAATACCCAGAGGTGATAAGTTAACAATTTGTTCTAACTATAAAATATTTTACTTTACTTTAATGAGATGTGATTTTCATGCAGGATTTTGAATTTTTGGCTACCTTTTAACCAAGATTTATATATCAATGGCCATTATTAGTGTACATAGTTTATATCTGAGGGAAAAATGCAACACAACAAAGTTTTATGTTATAATAGCAAAGATAACATAGCACTTTTACACAGCTAGTTTCTTTTACATTAGATTCACATTTATGTGCATTTAGGTACACGCACACACACACCTTTATATTTAGAACATGAATAGGAAAACAAGAAAGAAAAAATTTCAGAGTAAGAAGAAAGCAAAGACTCTATCAGAATCTCAACATGTTTGGTAGGCTTTCTAAATAGTAAGTGAACTAATTATATATCCAAAACAAAATCTGTTGAAAAATGTCATCCTTTTTTCATAAGACAGAGAATAAAGACATGCTGGAATTGAATTATTAGCTACATATATTTACAAAGCTCTTGTAACATAAGTCCCAGTAAACAACCACAAGTTGATACTCAGTTGATGACACTGGAATTTGCTCATACTCTTTTCCTACTCTAGAGAATTGTTCCTAGCTAAGTAAGATCTAAGAAGCCAGTTTACCGAAACCCACCATGGTCAAAGTGAATGCCTCTTCTTTTGGGATCTTGGTCAAAGGATCCTAGTTCTTCCTCCTGTGAGGCTGGGAGGGTCCATCTTTTCATTCCTATCTCAGTGATTTCAGGGAGTTTGGTCACAGCACATAACAGGTATCTAAACCAATGTCCACAGTCCCGAAAGTGTGATGGCCGAAGGCTAATATCCAGCTCTGTTAACTCTTTGAGGAACCACAAATTTTGGCAGAAGATGGCCCATCCTGCATCACAGATGCCATCATTATAGCTCAGGTCAAGCTTCTGCAGTTTGGTCAGATGTCCCCTCCGTATAACTGATGCTGCAAAACAAAATGAGTATTGCTCCCAACGCAAAGAAACAAGAATACTTTTTACCCTTGTTGTTTCCTATTTTACATAACACGGCATCTCTGGGATTAGTAATGACAATATTAGTAATTAGTAATAATTTGTTTTTAACTAACAGCTTTTATTCAGGCATCTGAACAAAATTTCCCCTGTACATGCCATTTGCAGTTTGAAAATGGATTTTTTTTTCATTTTTCCAAATCTCAACCCAAAGAATTTTATTTTTGTCCAGTTTCTGCTCTCTGCCTCCCTGGACCCCGGCTTTCCTTCAGACTTAAACGTCTGGAGAGATGATTCATTGGCATGAACTCAGGACCACTTGTAAATAGTCTTCTTGTTGTTTAATACTGTTTAGTTATTTCCTAGTCATTCATTCCATCATTCTTCATTCAATAATTATTTAACCAAGCACTTTCGGTGTGCAAAACATACTTGGATAATTTCACTTTAGAGATCACTAGTACACAGGACAATTTCCCCCTTTGAATAGTATATTCCATAATGGATTCTATAAAGGCACTTAATAAATAATAGTTATGATAAAACTAAGAGAAGATAACAACTTCTGCAAGAACAGGTGGGAGAGATACCCAAGGCAAATAGCACATTCTTTCCTCTTCAGCCAAGGTATCTTGGAGTGTCAAGGGATCATGAAAAGACTCCCCATTCAACCTCCAGAGCAATGACTAGAGAGGAATCCCTTTGACAGCCCTCTATGGGTGACTACCATGACTCCACCTGAACCATCCTTTCAACTTCATTGGGAAGCCACTTTAGCAGGAAGAATCCCTTCTTGGGCCCCCTGTCTGCTCCCAGTGACTTTCACCCATCAGTTCTGCTGGTTAGCTGGAAAACTCAGCTCCTCCTTCTCATGCGAGTCCTGCAGTGTTGGACAACAGTCAGGTCTGCCTCAAATTCCACTTTGAGGACTAACCATGCCCTGGTCTTTCAATCACTTCTCATCCACCATGGATCCCAGATCAAGTAGGGCACTCCAACCCCATCTCTTTCACCCCCCAACAGGGGGCGCTGGAGAGCTCAGTCGTCTGAACACTCAAGAGCTGCTGTCTGTCCCTAAGTGTCGGTTTCAGTGTGTGTGTCACCTTAATGTCTTATCTCACAACATTACTCACAGTATTCTCAAGATCTGACCTATGTTAAAGACAGCGTGCATGTTTTCGCCCCACTCTTTAGAAAAGTTTGTAGCAGAGTGTAGTGGTGTGTGCTTTTATGGCCGAGGAGTTAAAGGCCAGCCTAAGCAACAGCCTAAGCAACAGCCTAAGCAACTCATCTGGTGGCGGGGGTGGGGGTGAGGGGGTTGAATTATGGAAATTATTAACTATACAACAATTAGAGAGGAGAGTGTGGCTGCCCTGTCCCAGCGTTCAGCCTTAACAGTTGTCTTCATTACACTAATTTTGCCTCATATAATCCTCTTTCCTCTACCCTCTCCTTTTTTAAAAGTATTTTTAAAGCAAATCTCACTCATTTTTCTATCCTTTTTGGATTTTCCATATGTGAGCACCCTATTTACAGTATTATTTTTTAATATTTTATATTTATTATATCTTTAAAGATCTAGGTAGTGGAATTGTGGGTCATGTAAATATTTGCTTTGTAGTCTACTCTATGGGGGAAAAAAATGTTTGTTTATAAAGGAAATGAACACCAGCTACCAGTGATTAACAAATCCTTAATGTTTCTGTTAGAAAGAAAGCAATATAAAAGTGGCAAAGGCTAAACCCACATTTAGTAATATTGCTCCTAAAAATTGAAAGAAGAAAAAAATATCCCTGACAAATGTAAAAGTATAAATTTTATGTAAGGGAAAAAAACTAACGGCAAAAATTAAGAAAAACATACAATGACTGAAGGTATAATTGATAAAATTTGATGTCGACCTAAATAAAATGAATTAAAGAAATAAATTTTAATTGTAAACTTTAAATAAAATAACTAACTTATGTATATTTAATGGTTTCAAGCTTGGCATGGTGGCACACGTCTGTTATCTCAACTCAGGAGGCTGAGACAGGAGTATCACAAGTTCAAGGCCAGCCTTACCAACTCTGTGAGACCCTGTCTCAAAATAAAAAAATAAACAAAAGATGGGGCTGGGGTTGTGGCTCAGTGGTGAAGCGCTTGCCTAGCATGTGTGAGACACTGGGTTTGATCCTCAGCACCACATAAAAATAAATAAATAAAAGGTATTGTGTCCATCTACAAGTAAAAAAAATATATATTTTAAAAAATAAACATAGGGGTGAACTACATTAGGTAGAGCACTCCTGGGTTTAATCCTCAGTACCAAAAAATATTTTTAAAAATTTTAAAAAAGAAATAAAAGGGCTAAGGATATAGATCAGTGGTACAGCATCCCTGGGTTCGATTCCCCAGTACCAAAAATAAATAAATATAAATAAATATATATAACTATATATAGGTAACAAATGTGCATATAACTATATATATATACATAGCAAATACACATACATAGTTATCTCTCTTGATATACATCTTTTGAATTGGATACCATTAAAAATACATATATTTAAAATATATATTTTTTATTAGTTAATATAAAATATATATTTTAAATATATATGTTTTAATGGTATCCAATTCAGAAAATAGACTTTTAAAAAGCTGATTCTTTCAGAAGATTGGTAACATTGACGAACATCTGTGGTACTCAGAATTCTATGATGGGACCCCCCAAATTTCCACCCTATTCTCCAGGACTGTGAATATGATAGATTTTACTTCTATAAATAAGTTACATGAAATGGCACAGGTAATATTAAGAAAGGGAGATTATCCAAGTGGAGCTAACCTAATCATACTAGCACTTTAAAAGGAGACATTTTCTCCTGCTGGAGGCAGAGGGGGAAGGAGGTCATTTAGGAATGCTGAGAGGTTTGAAGGATGAGAAGCTCAGAAACTGTT